TATATATATATAAATAATATAATAAAATATATCAAATATCAAATAACATGTTTTCCCTTAATAAAATTATACAAGGAGACATTTACAAGCAAAGTGATTAAATTTTTCGAATACAAAAATACACACAGTATTTTTGCTTCAAGCTGCATTTTATAGTACTGCAATTATTTATAGGCCTGCTTTAAACTGTATAAACTATATTGGCATAATCTGTTTATTACAGTTATACATATGTATGTATAATTGTAAATACACTGGGACATTTTGAAATGTCTATGCTTTACTGCTTATTCAACATGAGGAAGATCAAAGATGCACTCTTACTGCCATCTACAACATATTGCAATATAAATGCCACAAAGTAAACATTGTTATAGTTCATCAACAACAGATCATGATCAGTCTATTGGCTTAAATGAAAAGTGCTCTAAAACAGCGAGCTTGGAGAATGCACAACAGCACCGTGTTTTTACTTTGAAACGTGCAGTATTTCTTTAGCATATTTCTTTATTTTTATTTTTATATTAGACTTAAAATTTTAAAATCCTGTTTTTATTTTTTTTAAGGATCCACGGGGTCCTTTTTTTTTATTCGTGCACATGCTTCTAAACACATTTTAGAGTTCTGCCAGATCTATTGTAATAGCAAATGTGAGTATAATCCTCGCACTGTCAACCCCTGCACACACACACACACACACACACACACACACACACACATAAAAAAAGCTTCACCTGTTGCATTCATTCTGTTCAGAGAAAGACCGCTGGAAAGTCGCACTCTCACCCCCTGCACACACACACACACACACACACACACACACACACACATAAAAAAAGCTTCACCTGTTGCATTCATTCTGTTCAGAGAAAGACCGCTGGAAAGTTTTCCTGTGTTTGTGGGACAGCATCTTCATTGGTATTCAGATGTGTATGAACGTGTGTGCAGGGCTCATCTGGAGGCCAGTGCTGAGCGCTGGAACCGGCTTCTGTCAGTCCTGGAGGAGCTGGGCCGCTGGATCAGTGTGAAGGATGAGGAGCTGAACAAACAGATGCCCATCGGAGGAGACGTGCCCACAGTGCTGCAGCAGCAGACCCACTGCACGGTGAGAGCCAGCTCATCGTTCCTCTCACCTCTCTCTTTTAATCTCTTCTCCTCTCATCTCATCTTGTCTCGTCTCTCTCATCAGAACTCATCTTCTCTCTCATCTCCTCCCATCTCATTTTGTACCTTTTTCTCAAATCTTTATTTTCCCATTGTCTCCTCTCCTCTCTCATCTTCTCATCTCTCTTTTCTCAAGTTGTCTCCTATCTCACTTTTTTTTTTAAATCTGTCTTTCTCAAATCTAGCTCTTCTCATTGTCTTGTCTCCTCTTTTAATCTGGTCTCATTGCTCTCTTCTCACTGTCTCGTCACCTCTTATCATTTCTTCTCTTCTCCTCTCTTCTCATCTTGTCTTGTCTGTCTCTTCTGAACTCGTCTTCTTTCTCGTCTCGTCTCATGTTTTAGCTTTTTCTTATATCTTTTTGTCTTCTCAGTGTTTCTTCTCCTCTCTCATCTTTGGTCTCTTCTTAGCTTGCCTCCTCTTACATTTAATCTGGTCTCATTAATCTTTTTTTTTTTTTTTCAACATGTCTGTTCGTTCGTCTCATCTCACTTAATTTTGTTTCACTTTTTCCACTTAGTGTCTCTTCTTCTCTCTCATCTCATATTGTGCCTTTCTCTTCTCGTTGTCTCCTCTCACATCTTTCATCCCATCCTGTCTCATTTTTGTCCCACTTTGTGTCTCTTTGTTTTCCCATCTTGTCTTCTCTTCTTTTCTCTGTTTGACTGGTCTCGTTCCTATCTCTTATATTGTTCAGTCTTCTTTTTTCTCTTAATCATCTTATTTTGAATGCTCTCCACAGTAGTCTTTTTTTCTTATTACTTTTATCTACTGTCTCTCGTTTGTTTTTCGTCTCATCTTGTCTCATTTCCTCTCTGTATCATCATGTCTCTCTCTCGTCTCTTCTCGTTCTCGTCCCTCACTTGTCTCTTCTTTCTTGTCTTGTCTCATATCATCTCATGTCCTCTCGTCTCTTCTTGTGTATTTTCCTCGTTTTATTGTCCTGTCTCTTCTCCTCACCTCATCAGCTGTGTTGTCTAGTCTTTCGTCTTCTCTGGTCTCATCCCCTGTCTCATTTTGTCTTTCTTATTTGTGTCTCCTCCATATTTGTCTCTCCTCACATTTTTTTCCCCTCCGCCCTCTCGTCAGATTCTCCTGCAGGAAATATTGTAGTGTTTATGCTCCTCAGCTAAATGATTATATTGGCTTGTTATATTGTGATCATGTGTCATACAGTGTATGTGTACAGTGTGTCACTGACCTAACAAATGACCGAAATGTGTCATTAACCACCTGTGTGATAATGACAGTAATCAAGATAATAGCAGGCCTGAGATGCACAATCAGAGCGTTTACACTCTCACCTTTACCCGAAAACTTTTTAATCAGTGTTTGACTGACCCGGGGTCACATATAATGTCTTGAAATGTTTACATACACAGATCCAGAGATGCATCTCATAATTAAGAGCATTTTAAAGAGGCTTCTGTTATAAGCTTTTGATCAGTACAGGCATGCCTTTCTGCTGTATGATGCAAGAATACCTACAGCGCTCAGAACACACCAGACAAAACCACCGCAGGGAATTATGGGAAGGTGGCAGGAAGGTTGAAACCGTAACGAGTCTGTGACAGTTTGGTTATGCTCTCTCTCTCTCACTTTCTCTCTTTCTCAGACAGTTTGACTAATGAATCTCTGGAGCGAAGAGAAAGATTGCCCCCCATTTTGACTTTCGCACCCTCTCTCTCTCTCTCTCTCTCTCTCTCCACCTCATCTTTTTCTTGGGCTCTTATAATAGATTGTCTTTGAGCCGGCTGCCCTGGTAAGAGCTTTAGCAGCGTGGGTACAAAACGCCAGGCCTTTTGAACACGTCACGGCTGATTAGTGTGCCGTGCCAACCGGGCGACCAGGATAGAGCGCCCCAGAACACGGGATGGAAGTGAAAATGAATAATTTGTGTGAGGTCTGAGAGACTTAGAAGAGCCGAACACATTGTCTGTCTGAAAACTTTCACTGATAAAGACACTGAGCCAGTTAAAGAGACACAGAATGACCTTTATTCCAAGATTAATTGAGTGTAATGAGCCCATTAAATGAAATGGAAACGGTGCCTTTTCCATTTTGAAAAGGTGATTTTTAAAGTACATTTTTGTTTGACTTTCAATATTCAAGTGGTAACTGTATTGTGCCATCTCCAGCTAAATTAATATATTTTATTTAACATATTAATAAGCATGATATGCTGGGATGTAATTATGCCTTTAAAAAGTAACAGGGTTGACACTTTTACAGTTTAATTTGACATTAAATGCGTGAAACTACAAGGAGCTTAATAGAAAGAGCATTTGAAGCTGATGCTTCCACACGTTTTCACGTATCAGTTGTTTATGAAACAAAGTCATGGTAACAGGGTTGACATTCAGCTCATCTCTTTCTGAGAAACCAAAAATGTCATATAAACTAATAAAAAAAAAAGGAAACATTCTTGAAGACATGAATTTCCTCAAAAACTGATTAGGTGATTATGCAGCTTTTATTTAATTGTATTTTATTTAATGTTATTTTAGTATTTTGTTTTGTTTTATGTTATGTTATGTTATGTTATGTTATGTTTATGCAGCTTTTATTTAATTGTATTTTATTTAATGTTATTTTAGTGTTTTGTTTTGTTTTATGTTATGTTATGTTATGTTATGTTATGTTATGTTATGTTATGTTATGTTATGTTATGTTATGTTATGTTATGTTATGTTATGTTATGTTATGTTATGTTATGTTATGTTATGTTATGTTATGTTATGTTATGTTATGTTATGTTATGTTATGTTATGTTATGTTATGTTTTGTTTTGTTTTGTTAGTTTGTTTATTCATATTTCAACTAAAATATATGTATTATACACTACCAGTCAAAAGATTTTTTTTTTTATAATTCTCTTCTGCTCTTAAAGACCTTCTGCTCTTGGATTTTTTTTTATCCAATATACAGCAAAAGCAGTAATATTGTGAAAATATTGTAAAATATTTTTACTTATTAAAATAACTGCTTCTATTTGAATATATTTTAAAATGTAATTTATTCCTGTGATGACAATGCTAAATTTTCAGTATGAATTTTTCACATTTTCAGCAGCAAGGATGCATTAAATTGATCAAAAGTGATGATAATGACATAATAAATGAATATATATATATATATAATGCAAAAAAATAAGAAATCAGGACTTCAACACTTTTTCACACCACTGTGTGTATATATATATATATATATATATATATTGTCTTTGTGTGTGACGGGTGTCTATTAGCATATTCATGTAATTTATCCACAGCATTCGTTTGATTATTGGCCATAAAGAGTACTTGAGGACAGTAGCTCTGAATTTCTCTCGTCCTTAAGTCTCAGTAATAGTGTTTATTAATCACACATCTAATTATCCAATAGAAGAGCCTCCTTTATTGCTGCTATAATTAAAACTATCAATCACCGTTTTGGAAAGTCCTGCGAGCGGGAGAGTGTGTGTTATTCTCAGTTTTACTGATAAAAGCTGAAATGTGTTCGACCGGTAAAGCTTTTGACCGTTACAAGGACACTCTTTTTTATCAGCCTTTTAATAGGATAAATCAAACAAACATATGTCATTTAAAACTTGTATGTTTTTCAATGGAACATAAAAGAAATTTAGCCAGATGTCTGTACTGCTCTTTTCCATTCAGTGACCAGAAAGGACAGAACAGCACTATAAAAGTATCATAAAGTAGTCCTCTGAAGCAATATAATAGTTTAATGTGAAGAACAGACTGAAGTTTATATGCGCATGGTTTCTAATTTTTCATGGAACTCTTATATAAGCACTATCATGCTGCATTAGTCACATCACTGTAAGGTTTTTTAGTCCAGGCACCGAGAAAAAGAAATAATGACCTTACAAAAAAAAAAAGTTGGAAACCGTCTTTGCAGTGATTGCTGTTACTTTGCCGGCTGAGCTCTGTTAAATAATGGCGACGTCTGTGTGATTTATTCTGATGGTTTGGGTCTTGAATCCGCCGAGTGTTAAATGAGAGACAGATTAAAGCCACCCGAGGCCTTAAACTTTTCTCTGACCTGAGACAGGAAAGAATGACCTCACTATAACCCTGAAGATCCTTTTATGCTGCAATAAAGAGATGAAAGACACTTGACAGTCTCGTCACCTGACCAGCGCTGCTGTACCGGTCCTCTTTGTAAGTCTCAATCGAGACATTAGTTGAATCGGTGTTAGTTTGCCACTCAGGCATTGATTTCAATTTACACACTTCTAATGGCGCTTTCCCACTGCATGGTACGGCACAGTACGGGAAACGCAAACCGTGCCGAGCCGAACCGTGCCGTGCCGTACCGAGTCGTACCACGCAGTGGAAAAGCGTCATACATGGATTGGAAGCTAGTTGTCTGATATTTTAGGTCCGGGGCTGATACTGCGTCATTGCAAATGTCTTTGACTTTCAAGATTTGATTTGTGCGAAAGCCTTTTGCCGTCTCTCTGCTTCTCCTAATTGAAAGCATTCAAAGCAGATGGTGTTATGGCTGATAAAAGAGTCTGAGAAATGTGGCTTGACTTCTAGAAGCAGTTTTAAGAGAGCTGTCTGTGTTACAGGACAGTAAGCAGGTGATCTCTGACAGATGGATGCTGTGCTGACAAGAGTCTGAGCAGCAAGTGTGAATATATCTGCATTTAGCTGTACTTCATGAGCCTGTGCCGTCAGGAACTTAAGGACATGAGCTGTTTTTTTTTTTTAGCCTTTTAAAGAAATTAGAAATCATTTAGTCCGTGGTCATAAAGGATTGTCTTCTTTATCCATTCTTCCAAAGAATGTTCCAGGTCGAATGCAATTTAAGCTATTTGCCACAGAGAATGATTTTCTCTGAAATTGAATTTAGCTAGAATAACTAGAATAATTGTTACCATTTACATGTTGGTAACACCTTAAGGCCCAATTCTCAGGTGTAGTTCCACCTGAAAAAAAAAACTTCAAATAACACATTTTTTCTACAAATGATTCAATATAAATGCTTTAACGAAAATGCTACCTTTTCTGCTTTTCAATCTTCCAGACATTTGCTCCTTAGACATCCACGTTACAGCTATGTGCTTTACTGTAAAGGTACATTTTCTGTTTGTTTTCCTCAAAGCAAGCGACAAAATTCCTTTCTGAGGTAATTGGCGGCATGCCTCACATGCTGGACTGTACTGAGTCTGACTTCAGCTTCAGTCTGTCAAGGGCATCCTCCCCAAAAACAAGCCTTGTCTTGGCTGGAGCTGAGCCATTAGAGCGCTTGTTTGGGAGTCTTTTAAAGGTGTTCAGGATGTGTCGAGTAGTTTGCCATTTGATGGTTTTGAATGGTCTTTCACTCCAGGCACAGAGGTTATTCATTATGTGCTATTTAGGGCTGTGAATGTGCGCGCTTTTGTGTTTGGCTGTTTGTGTTTGGCTGTTTGTGTCTGTCAGAAGTGTATTAAGAGCTCAGGAAGAGCACTGATGATAGTTTGCCGCTTTTTGGCTTTAAAAGTGGAAACAGTCATCATCTTTGTGAAAGAAAGAGATGGAAGAGCTTTCCGATTTTTGCCGCTGATGTTGAAAGTTGTTTACTAAAGCGTGTTTCAGCTGCAAGCGGCATCTTAAAGGGAGAGTTTGCTCAAAAATGAAAATTCTCATGATTTGTTAACTTCGTGTCGTTCCAAACCCATAGCAACAAAACACAAATGAAGGTATTTTTAGTGAAACGTAAAATGAGTTTTCTGTTCCTCCAATGTACGTCCACGTAGCCTTTCAAACTTCAAAAAGTTCATAAAGACATCGTAAAAATAATCCATATGAATTTAGCTGTTTAATGCATGTCTACTGAAGGCACACAATCACTTTATTGGAGCTGTTTGGCGTATATTTGCAATTTGTTTATTTTTTATTTTTGTATGTCATTATGTTTAATTAGAAATAAGAATATTTAACCGGAAGAGGACTTTTGCTTTGTTATTAGAAGAGACAGGATTAAGACATGATCATATTATGGGCTCATTGGACAATGGGGAGTTGAATAAATTGTGGTGGATTTTCCATTTCTTGATCGGAAAAGTTCTCTTGTTTTCTTATTTTTGAACGAGTTGAAAGTGCTTAAGCTCACAGAACTGGCACAAGGGTAAAACGTCACTACACATTTTAGATTTGATTCAATTTAGGCTTATATTCACATATAAACATTGAGCTCATCAAATATGGTAAATGGAAGCTCAAACAACCTTAATGTTCAAGAACAAGCCTCACTGGTTCTTACATGTCAAGTACGATTGACCTTCTGTTTGCCATATTTGATGTGCTCAATATATGCACATTGGTCAGTGTTTATATTTCATTAATGTTGAATCTCTCTCATTCATAGGTATTACTTTTATGTATTACTTTTATCCTTGGACGTTTTGAAGCGTCAGAGTTTTGGTGTAATGAACTTTCAATGGAGGAACGCAGTTGATTTGTGTTTCAAAGATGAATGAATGTCTTATGGAAATGACATGAGGGCAAGTAAATGACAGAATATCAATTTTGGGTGAACTATCCCTTTAATTAAACTGTATAATTAAAGTGTTTAAGGTTATACTGTTTAAACCAATGCAATTATCTATCATTGGGGTGGTCGGAAGAAAAGCGAGAAACATGGAGAAATGCAAAAAAAAAAAAAAAGAAAAGCATGATTTGTCCCAAACTATTCAAGATGAAAATAACTTGTTATTAAAGGCACAGTTCACTCAAAAATGAAAATCTCAACCTCAAGTCAATTGGGATGAACAACTGTTTGGTTACACAAATCCTTCACAACATCTTTTTCTTGTTCAGCAGAAGAAAGAAACTCATACAGATTTGCGCTTGAGTAAATGCTGACAGAATTTTCATTTTTGGATGAACTAACCCTTTCAGGAGCGATTCAAAGTGGAGCTGTTTACAGTTTTTGAGGCAAGTCACAACTTGACACATTAATAGGGAATACGGATATGTGTATGTTGGATATTTAATGCTGTCAGCACCACTGCCGTAGCTAAAAGATACCAAAAATATAGGTGATTTTCACTTGTTTACTTCTGTATCTGTGCTCATGCTCTGTGTGTGATGTTCTTCTTCGACCTCGTATGTGTCTCTTTCTTCATCTTACTCTAATCTTTATGATTTTTTAATATCGGTCCTTAACATCTCCATAATGCTGTTTAATGGAGCGCTCCTCTTCATGAGCCTCTAATGTGCGGCTGGTGCTCGCTAGGTTTACTGTAGCAGGATGTAATTAAAAGGCTTATCACTTCCTCCGGCTCTGTTTAACGACCGTTTCAGAAGTGTGGAGGGTGCCGTGACCCTGCTCTCCAGTCGAGCCTGAGGGGCCCAACTATCAGAGGAATGGTAATCCAGTTTTCCTCTCCGCAGAGATTTGGCTGTTCATTTAATTGTGTGTGTGGCTGTACAGAAGTCCTGCGCTGCCTGAAGGCAGGAGTTAGTTTTGTCGGAGTTCGAGGATGGCTATTAGTTTAGCTAATTTGCGTGCGACCCTGCGGAAATGCCTCGTTTGACCTCGGAGATCATGTTTGCAATTGCTCTTTAGTGTCCGTTTTATATGTGCATCCTATCAATCTTTCACTGCCCTCCTTCTCACCTTTTCTTGATCTCTTTGTTTTTCATTTTGCTCTCACTGATCTCCTGCTCACACACAAACACACACACTCTCGGATGGAGCGCTGGCTAACATAAGCAACAACATACCGTCAGATAATGACGGACTGTGATAGACCTAATGGAGAAAAAAGGCCTGATTAAAAGAATGAAATGAATGAAAAACAAAAGTAGTCAGGCAAAATTTCCATCCATCTTTCCATCCATCCATCCATTTCTGTATTTTTATTTATCTGATTCTCTATCTAGGCCATTCATCCATCTATGTATCTTTTTATTTCTCTGTTTATTGGTCGACTGTTGTTTTCCCGCCCATTTCTTGTTTCTGCTGATTTCTATAATTAAGCTCTGTTTATGACTGATTGACAGGTTGTGATGTGATGTGTTTTCAGGCTCTGAGGGCGGAGCTTAAGGAGCGTGAGCATTTAGTTCTCAGCACATTGGATCAGGCACATATGTTTCTGGCCGACCAGCCGATCGAAGGACCCGAAGAGCCACGCAGGAACCTGCAACCCAAAACCGGTGAGAGACCATCATTTCTTCGTCCTGCTATCCTCCCATGCATTTAATGAAAATAAAAGTAGACAGAAAAGGGATAAAGTGCATACGTCTTGTCAACAGTGTTGGGAAAAGTTACTTTTAAAAGTAAAGCACCACAATATTGCGTTACTCCCTAAAAAGCAACTAATTATTTTAATTGTTTTTTTTGTTTTGTTTTTTCGAAAGTAATGCATTATTTTACTTTCTCTTTACTTTTTAAATCTGGGCTGGGTTTGAGGTTTGTTTTTAATATAAAATTCAATATTTGGCAAAAAAAATTGGTCTTTTGTGTTTCTTTACTATAGTTACTTGGAAAAAAGTAATCTGATTACATAACTCATGTTACTTGCTTTACCTCTAACACTGCTTGTGAAGTCATGTGCTTTGTGAAGTAATTTTACAGTAAACATTCTGCACATAAAAACACGTCTGCAGAAGAAATTCTTCAGAAACTTAGACCAGTCTGAGAACATCACGCACACACCGCAGACCAGCGGAGTTTATTTTGACACTCTCTAAGGGATGCTCTTTGATGTAAGTGACTCTCTGATAAGTCGGACACCTCCTGTCAACACGCTCTTAACTGCAGTATCTGATGTCTGGAAAGTTCCACCGCTCTCTGGACACTTCCGCTGGGACCTGCTTGAAAAGCTAATTTAGGACAAACGTCAGATACCACTTATCAGATAGAAAGAGAGCTGTGTGTGAATGTGTGTACGCATACGCATGCATTTCAGCTGGAGTGTGTGAATGGCCAGTGAAACCGGGTTAATTGGCAGATCAGAGACTGCAGGCTATTTCCACTTTTCAGCGTCCTGAAGCTCAATGTTTTCTGTCTTTCAGAAAACACCAAAGTCATCTAGAGCAGAAAGTGTTTGCTAAGGGAAGCAGAACTATTACTGCTGCACGTACTGAGGCTTAGTGATTTAAACAAACCTTAAACTCTGCATATTACATTTTGCTGCGTAACTCGTCCTGAACGGTTTCAGCTACAGACATGAAGGACATCTCAGATTATGTGGCTGCTTGAGGAGAGTAACCTGTATTAGTCATTTAGAGTTGACTTTCTTAACTTTGTAGAACATTTTTTTTTATACATAAAATGTGTGTTTTTGACCATTCACTGTAATTGTATGTGTAAAAACAGTTGAAGCAATCTTCAAAATATCTTAATAAAGGGGAAGTCATGGCCTAATGGTTAGAGAGTCGGACTCGTAACCCAAAGGTTGTGGGTTCGAGTCTCGTATCGGCAGGGATTGTAGGTGGGGGAGTGAATGTACAGCTCTCTCTCCCACCTTCAATACCACGACTGAGGTGCCCTTGAGCAAGGCAACGAACCCCCAACTGCTCCCCGGACGCCGCAGCATAAATGGCTGCCCACTGCTCCGGGTGTGTGTTCACAGTGTGTGTGTGTTCACTGCTGTGTGTGTGTGCATTTTGGATGGGATAAATGCAGAGCACTAATTCCAAGTATGGGTCACCATACTTGGCCACATGTCACGTCACTTTCACGTTAATAAAGGAACTGCTTCCTTATAATTCAATGTTTAAAATGGCAAGATATGTAGAGGAGAATATGCTCTTTTGCATATGACAGTCTGACAGCATTATCAAATTAGGTGAAATGTTTAAACAGACTGGGCTTCGCAAAAAAAGTGCAGTTTTAGAAGATATAAGATAGTTTGCATCTTGCAGTTCTAAGTTTTTTTTGTTCAGAATTGCAAGATATAAACTCTCAATTGAAAAAAAAGGAAACTTTTTTTCTCCAAATTGGACTATATCTCGCAATTGCGAGTTTATATCTCAGTTCTGAGAAAAGAAGTCAGAATTATGAGATATAAACTCACAATTGCAAGAAAAGTCAGGCTTGCAATTTTCTATCTCATAATTTTTTACTTTATAACTTGCAATTGTGAGTTTATATTATGCAATTCTGAGAAAAAATCTGAATTGCAAGATAAAAACTCACAATTGTGAGAAATGTCAGAATTGCAATTTTATATCTCAGAATTCTGACTTTATAACTTGCAGTTGTGAGTTTATGTCAGTGAGCTTATATATGAGTTTAATTCTGAGAAGAAAAAAGAAAAAGTCACAATTACCTCATTTTATTTATTTATTTTTATTTTCAGTGGCAGAAACGGGCTTAAAAATAAATCAATGCATTGCGAATCGAGAAATTATTCAGCATTGATTCTGATATTTTCCGAATGCATCGCGATTCTTTCTCGAGTCGATTCTGAGCTTAGTTTTGAACAGCAGATGGCGCTGCATGCTTTAGAAACAGCCATACTCTACTCGTTTCCAAATTCTCACACACACTTGAACCTAAAATAATCATTCATAAAATTAAAAAAGATTGAAGCGAATTACAAGGTTGTTCACAGTGGGCTGTGTTTACATTAATCTCGCATCATAAAAGCATTCTGAGCCGAGGTGAAATTACACGACTCAGCCGAACGCACAAGTGCTCTTCAGCGCTCTTCTTCATGAGCTTGAGTGTGCGAATAGAAACTAGAGTAGAGCACCATCTGCTGTCAAAATCTATGCTCAGAATCGATTCCAGAGAGAATCGCAACGCATTCGGAAGATCTCAGAATCGATCCACGAATAGATTCTGCATCGATTTATCGTCACAGCCCTAGTATTTAGTAGGGTTGGGCCGATAGACTATGCCATCGTCCACTTACTTTTCACTCTCACTTTTTACTTTCACTTTCGAGATTCGCGATCACGTATACTCTGTTTATATACTTATATATTGCTTATATTGATATGTATTTATATTTTAATCATGTTATTATATATTTATATTGTTGCACAGCCGTAAAGCGACATGCATGTGTAGAACATTGTAAATGACAGTTTTGATCTTTTCTGTGGAATTTTGAGGGTGCAGATTCAGTGTGACTAGGCTTGTAAGCTTATTTAATATTCTTACCACAAATGTACACTTTCACATTTACTCCTATTGAAGTCAGCTGGGTTCAGAAGGGCAGAGTTTTCTGATCTCTCTTCACACGTCTCACTCCGAACACCTCGAGCAATCTCACATGACTCCATTCAGTCCTTGAGCCATCTCTGCACTTCCATTTTCTCTTATCCCTGCGATCAAAGCGCAGAGCTCAGCTATCTGAACCGATAACCAGCTCACGCGCTCTGCCGCCCCGCACAAACACACAGTTCTCGCTCGGCTGAAACATAAATATAAAGATGAAAGATGAAGAGGTGAGCATTTGCCGAATGGAGAAATCAGTCCTGCCGTTTGTGACGGTGACATTAGCTAAAGTGTCTTCTCACGTCCTCAAAAAGCCTGGAAGCCGAATGAAAGAGCAGATGTTAATGCTGTAGCCCTGCCTGTAGACATGCCCTGGGCTCTTTCTAAATTGCCCAAACATCTGCCTCCTGTCGTCTGTAAACCTCTCTCTATTTAGCTCATTAGTTGAGTGGCTCATTAGTAAACACTTTCTTAAATGACCGTGCACTGAGCATATCTTCTGAACATGGTCATTTGCAATGTGGAAAAGTCAAGTTGTGGTCATATTGATAAATGTGAGATGCACAAAAACAGGCTGTTTATATTAGTCTATTCTTAAACCGCTAACACTTTAGCATAGGGACCAATTCTGACTGTTACCTAGTTGCTTATTAGCATGCCTATTATTAACATAACAGCTGTTTATTTGTTTATTCATTTTAGGGATCGTACAGTAGGCGTATCTCAAACGCAAAGGATGTTCCAGACAGTCTGCAGTAATATTATGCTGTCTTATCTGATATGATATGATCCAATAAACAATTACTTTGTCTGGCTGTGAGATGCGATAAAATCAATCAAAATAACAGCCAATCAGACGTGTGTGTAGGCAGACTCTATTTGCAAGTGCACTGCTGTCTCGCTCACACAAAATGGATGAGTACACATCAGATTGAATAAAAATGAAACCAATTTAACATTATCAAAAGCGACTGATACAATCTTTGTCATGGAACACACTTGCTCACAGTTTAAATGTTCTGGTTTCCCTAAATTTATTTTTAAGATCTGAGGTAAATTATTCATTATAGCTTTCATTATGGCTGTTAAAGTCACACACAATGATACTTGAAAATCAGTGGTATAAAGTAGAGGTGGGCGATATACCGGTAGACACAATTAACCGGTAGAAATTTGTCAGCTGGTAGAGATTTTGTGATGTTGCTGTGGTGTTATTTTTGTAGTTTTATGGGCCTTGAATGGTCAAAATGCCCGTCGTTGCAAGTATCTTCGTAAACACAGTTATTTAGATCTCAAGTGATAGCAAACAGCTGAGAAAGAAAACACATGTGTAACAGTATAAATCCCTCAGAACAACAAGCCTCCCCTTAGTATGACGTCACCAAATATGATGGGCAGTGTAGAGCAAGGTACAATACAAATTCCTGCCTAAACAAATGTCTTTATTAGTCATTATGTTTGTTATACAAGTTTACTTTTTAGGCAGTGTACATTAGGGCTGGGACGATCCGCTAATCTGCCGATTCAATACTATCCCGATACTTGTGTGCCGATTCAATATATATTGTGATAATTGAGTGTTGCGATTATATAACTATTGCGATTCGATAATACAATTTATTGTGATTTTTGTTTGCTTATTAAAGCCTAGACAATGGAAAATACTTGATCATACCATTAAAGAGACTGTATATGATGAGCCATATTAACATAAATGCATCACATCTTTCTGAACTTTTATTTCAGGAACATACACAGTGTATATTTTAAAGTACCTTGAACCATGAAACTTTCAAGTACCAAAACCCTGAACTTGCACATGAATATAATAGTCAAATGTTTAACAAAACGACGTCATCTAATGCAGCGGCACTGTGCTCGCAGAACGATCGTTGTATGAAGTCATCAGCACCACATGCTTTCGAATCGCTCTCGCGGTACTTTGATGTCGTACGCCGATCGGTCTGTGCAGTGCTGCTTCAAG